GGTCAGGAATGTTGATGTGTTCAAATGCTATTTCCTGAGCTTGTTACCTACTTTGCTCGTTGAGCAGGAGACAGGAGATTCAGACAAGTCATAGTGCTGAAGATGCTTCGTGACGATCTACTTTTTTCTTATCCCGTGCATGCACTAGTATAATATCACTATTCACTATTTAAACACTTAGATCAAACAAATGTTGTTGCAGGATCCAGGAGGGTTGGTGAATTTAGAGTTGTTAACGTCGCTTTCTTAGAATTCTTTCGTATGTCAATTGTCATGAGAAAAAGGTCAAAACACTACCAGGCTGAATGTTGAACATTGCCTCGCTGAGCTATTGATATGCTGATCTAATGTAGAGTTACAATATTTTAATTCTGAAGCCATCCGTCCGTAGTATGCCGACGTGGTTTGGCTCATCCTGAGATGCCCAGCCTTCACACGTATTGTACGAGCTCGCCGGGACTCCAGCAAGCCCCCTGTTTGTGGATGTCTCAGTGTCCGACTGGGTTCTGGCTCCCGATTCTGCCACATGTATGAGTCTCAGAGTCTAGGCTCGACAGCTGTCTCATTCCAGGATGTCTTCGGCAGGCAGGGGGTCTCGAACTCGGTCATCTGGAACTGAATGAAGACGATGATGTAGGTGATGACGGCCGAGGTGATGGCCAGCACGGTGGAGCGCCGCAGCCGGTAGAAGCTGATGTCGCCCAGCCTCTCCGCGTCGCGGCGCGTCGCCTCCACGAACAGCCCCAGCTCCTGACCGGTGGCGAGATCTGTCGGCGGCAGCTCCAACAGCGACTCGCGGATCTGCTCCACCTGGTCGAGCAGCATCTGCCCCGCCTCGCACGGCACCACCACCGTCATCACAGCGCCCCACATGCGGAGAATGACAGTCGAGATCTGATCCAGGCCCTTGCCCGTCTTCATCATGCTGAGAATGCCCAGAAAGCCGGAGATGAGCGCGACAATGCCGTAGAGCATGGAGGTCACCAATTCGGGAGTCATGCCGCCGGCCATCTGGCAGAAGCAGGCGCTCAGCTTTGCTTGACACTTTCTCAGGCGATGAAGCTTTGTCAGCTCTGCGTGTTTCTGGCTCACCATGCTGGTCAGTTCGGAATTCACTGTCCGAAATCCGTTTAGAATCGCTTCTGCTCCGAATAAGAGCTTCAAAGCAATTGAGTACATAATGGTTTCCAGTCCTCCGTAAAGATTTCCCAGCAGTATTGTTTTAGCGCATTTTGAGGCTGATGCCTGGCAGCTCTTGTTAACTCTAAGAAAAAGCATGTAGTTAATTTGCACCAAAAGCGTTGATGCCACCATCGATATCAACATTTTGACAAGTCGACGCTTTAGCACCTTAACGCCGCTGGTATGGCTAGAAAAAGCACTGACATCGTCTTCCAGCTCCTTGAGACGAGGAATCAGAGCTTCGAAGCGAGTTCTTCCCACAAAGAACGAGCAGGTGAGAGGTATCCACGTGAGTACCTGTGTCACTCCGAATAGAGAGGTCGCCATGGCGACAGAAAAGAAGGCGTCGTTCATCTGCAGAAGGATAATGCCTGCTTGGGCGTTGTTAGCAGCCAGCGTCAGAGATGCAAATGTAAGCAATGCATAGTGTACCGCCGCGTGGATTCTGGCCAGCCAGCCGCGCCCACCTGTCTGACCGCCCAACCTGAAAAGCCAGAGGATAATGCGACCCGCCCCCGACTCAAGCGGTCGGGAAGAAGCAGACTGGCTCTTTTCCACCCATCCGACAGTCTTGTGACGATCGTCAACTGCTAGTGACTCCTCTGGATGGACGGACTTCATAATTGTGGTGACCTTCTCCTCTCTTTTACTGATTCACACACTATTGAGGACCGCTGGGGCCGTGCGACTACAGCCGTTGGCCGTTGAAATTAGGCCGGTTGGCTTTAACGTTGGTGTCCTATTCGGATTAGACTTTGCTCCAAAGTTTCACACCGCTGATTAGTGTTTAGCGAGGTAACTCTCTCGGGTCTGACAACAGCTGTATGTAGACTCACAGTTTCGCGGAGTTTGATAAAACACCACGAGGCGAAGGTAGACTGGGGCCCCTGGATGAGGTAGCTCCAGCGCCGGTGTTCGCCTCTCGCTCTTCCTGTGGTATATGCACCCACAGTCACCTAGCCCGGTCACCTCCGCTGTAGGAGGCTGACCGAAGCAAAAGAGCTCTTTTGTGGACTGCCTAGTAGGCGTAAGTGTTTGGTCTCTTGGAAAGAGAGCACACGCCTTCATCAGAATGTAAAACAACATTAGCATGTTGACATCGCCGCACGCCAACAGGTCGATAGCTGTTGTCACATTGGCGACTTGTCTCACTTGACAGAAGTCAAATAGTCTGCAGGCTTGTGGCGGTCAGGCAGAAGACAGAACGCAGGCAAACAGTGTGTTGGAAAGGTCGAGTTGTGCATTCAGGGTGGGACACGTCTGCCGCCACGCTTTTCTTGTATTTGATCAATAGCTCATTCATTATAAGGCGTGGGTTTGTGGCTATCCACATTGAATGACTAAACTGCCAAACGCCACCGCCCTTTTGGGTTGAGGACCAAGCAAACTAAGCTCATGCAAAGTGACGCACATGCACAGAACATAAACAATTAACGTCTTTTGCTCTTTTTCTTTTCATTTAGCACTGCCTTTTATAATACGCATTAGCCGTTTTCACGACGGGCTATCCGGCCAATGCACCTGATTTGACCAAATCTGCACGTAATTTCTTTTACAGCAAATATCTTCATTTTATGAATTTATTTCAGTGTTTTAATCGATTATGCTCTCTGATAATATGACAAAGCAGGCATATAAGCAATTAGTGCAACCCTAGGTGATAGCTGCTAAGAGACACACTGAACCTGATTTGACCAAATCTGCACCTAATCTGTACCAGATGTGCAGCAAATGTGTACCAGATGGCCGTCGTGAAAACGGCTACTGTCTACCTTCCTTCTTTTTTAGCTTACTAGTTTGCAGATTTCTAAGGAAACTGAACTTCACGCAGAATGTTCCGTTCGTGCACAATGTACATTCTACATAGATGAATCTTGACAGAGGCCAGAGAGTAGCCGGGTTGTTGGAAATCTGTCAGGCGCCTTGAGCAAGAAGCTCAGGGAACACCCGCACTGCGACCTTTTAGGGCCCTGCCTGAGAGCGTGTCCAGACTTGGGAGTGCCATAGCCCGTCAATGTTACGAATGTAATTGAACTTCCCAGGGGAGCTTTTATCTATTGTGGTGTGGCTGTGGTAAAATATCCAAACATCGTACTGCGCAAGGCAGGGCCGTAGCTACTGAAAGTGGCAAGCTGGCAATAAAAAAGAAGTGAAAAGTTGTAAGAGCTGCCGGTCAATACCGATGGAAAACATTTATAAACATCCGTCAACCCAGTGTCAGTAGCAGTATTTTGTCGATCAATAACTCGAGCTGGTGTATGTATTTTTTTCGATACCATTCAGTACATTTTGAACAGCTGCCTCTAATGACGTTCCGAAACCATACACATCGCCCAACCCCTTCGTGTCCATAAAGTAGTTGGTCCACCAATTGCTGACAATATTTCGTCCCCCAAATAGTGACAGCTATCTGAATATTCGATTAATTCTGCTTCATCAGACCATACTCGTTCCATACGTCCTGCAATATCATTGTGCTATGCACCCACCCGCGTCCCTCGGGCATGTTTTCCTCAGTCCCATACTTTGCCGCTCATCATTCACCAGTGGCATTTACGCTGCACCTTTTCGAAAAGAGAATGTGTCCCGCTGACATATCGACAGCCGTCGCGTGCCGCCGATTCAGCATATGACCTTGTTCGCCATCAATGAGTTCTAGGGCTGGGCTCAACTGGCATGAATAGAGGGCGAGGATGCGTCATCGATCCATGGGATGGCTGTTGCTTCGCCTGACCAGACACTGCCAGGATGTCAATGGAGGTAGAACACGCTCTCAGTTCCTCTATGATCATTGGAATATTGTTAGCCTCGTTTATGTACTTTGGTCGCTGAATAAACATGTGCGATGTACTAGTGCTTTATAACATGCATCATTATCGTTATTATCATATTATCATTACCGTCATCATCATCATCATCATCATCATCATCATCATCATCATCATCATCAGTCATCACTGTTATCACCACCAAGGACTTCATAGAGGAGTGGCAAATAACTAGATAATAACATATTCTTGATTTGACTGATACAAGAGAGAGAGAGAGAGAGAGAGAGAGAGAGAGAGAGAGAGAGAGAGAGAGAGAGAGAGAGAGAGAGAGAGAGAGAGAGAGAGAGAGAGAGAGAGAGGGAGAGGAGAGAGAGAGAGAGAGAGAGAGAGAGAGAGAGAGAGAGAGAGAGAGAGAGAGAGAGAGAGAGAGAGAGAGAGAGAGAGAGAGAGAGAGAGAGAGAGAGAGAGAGAGAGAGAGAGAGAGAGAGCTGCTTTGTTCAACTTAGCCACCAGACTCAATATTGACATTGATGACAACGTGAGCATTAAAGCCTGGCTGCAGCGTTACGTGTCCGTCTGCACAACCGTACCTATTCCCGAGCTCAGCGTTCCATCAAGCGATTTGCCCTTTTGGTTTGCCATTATTAGTTGTTCACATAGATAGCTGATCACCAGCTCATTCGCTACACACAAATGCATCAAATAATAACTGGATATTCGTGAATAAATGACACGTAACGAGCATTCGTTTCATCAAACGCTCTGAGGACATTTCTTGGTCACCGAGCGATACCTGCATATGGCTACAATCAACGCAGCATTGTCTGTTACCGTGAGCTCTCCATACTAACTGAGGCCAGTTCTGCCCGCCCTCACTTCACCGTTCCATGCGGCAAGGAGAGGATCTGCACTTCATCAACTCCAGGAAAAAATTGGACCCTAAGTTCACCGGCCCTGACGGTAGGGCGAGGACCCGCACTTCCCTTCAGGAGAAAGAGAGGGCCTTAACTTCACCGGCCCTGGCGGTAGAGACGCTTCTCATTACAGATGGTTCGACTCGGTGATCTCTTGTCAGTGGGAGAGAGATGGTCGGGCAATCCGCTGGGGCAGACGGAACCAGGACACTTCCCTGAAGAGCTAGTCGTCACAGCCATCGATGATCGACCTCACTTCATCATCAACCAGCTGGCGAATGGGTCGTATACCTACGACGGCTACCTGTACCAGCTGTGGGAGATCCTCGCGCAGCAGCTGGGACTACGGTACCGCATCCAGCCACTGCTGAACGGCGGCGGGTACGGCTATCTGGACCCCAACGGCACGTGGACCGGCCTGGTGGGCGAGCTGGCGGCCGGCCGCGCGGACGTGGCTCTCAGCTGGCTCACCTACAGGGTGGACCGCGCCGCGGTGGTCCACTTTGTAGACGCGGTGCCCGTGGAGCGCGACCAGTACGCCTTCTCCGTGGCCGGTGGATCGGAGACCGGTCGCGGCCTCGACTCGGATGCAGTGGCCGCGCTGCTGAGGCCGCTCGACGCTGCCGTCTGGTGGACGCTGCTGGCATTCCTGCTGATCGTCTCCGCGCTACTGCACGTCGTCGTGCGCTACAGTCGCCCCGGAGCAGAGACGCGCCGCACGGTATCCGAGATGACGTGGGGCTCGTGTTTATTCCTCAGCTTTATGACGCTGGTCGGCCAGGGCTGGGAGCGAACCCCGCGCTCGCTGGCCGCCCGCCTGGTAACCCTCTCCAGCTGGATGCTCGGTTTTCTGATCTACTGCAGCTACACGGCCACGCTGACCTCCCGTCTGACCGTCAGCGACGTCAGTCGACCCATCAGCAGTCTGAGGGAGTTCTCCGAGCAGCCCGGCTGGACGTTCGCCATGGAGCCAGGTCTCGGTATTCTCAACGACTGGAGGAGCAGCGACGACGCCGTCGAACGCGAGCTCTACTGGCGCGCAGTCTCCGGAGAGGGATTCGTAGCCATCAACTTGACGACTGACACCGTCCACGTGACCACGCAGAGCCATGTGATGACCTTCATCGCCATCAACCGACTCAGCTTCGTACTGGGGAACGAGGCCTGCAAGCTCGTGCCGTTGCTGGACTACGTGCCGCCGAAGACCAACACCTACCTGGCGATCTCCAAACGGCATAAGAAGCTGAAGAAGGCGCTGAACAAGCTGTTATTGAAGATGAACCAGGCCGGAACGGTGCAACGCCTGAGGAACAAATGGGTTTGGCACGGGGACGATTTCTGCGACTCTGTCGCCGTCATCAGACGTCTGAGCCACAATGATCTGGCCGCGGTTTTGATCATAGTTCCCTTGGCGTCGGCCGTTAGTCTGTGTATTCTCGCTCTTGAGTATTTGGTGAGTAAGTTTAACCCGCGCACCGACGGGGGTCTGCGCCAACTTAGTACCGACGGGGGGGGGGGGGCGGATGACCGCCCCCCCTGAGATCTCGAGAACGAAGCAAGATAGCGACAAGCGGTAAACGGCATCGGATACGCACGGTCAAGATCTACAATTTTTACTAAGGTCATTTTCAGGTCAGGTCAAAGATGACGTCACAGGGGTCGAAAAAGTCAAAATGGCGGCGCTAAATATGGAGAGAGTTTTTCTCGAATAACTTTCGAATTAGTCAAGATAGGAACAAACTAAGGGCATCATCGTGATCCTCTCGTCAATCCGCATCGAATGATATATATGTTGACCTCGAAAGGTCAAGGTCAAAGGTTGACCTCAGGTCACGTGACCTCGAGGTCATCATGTATATCATTCGATGCGTCTTGACGAGCTGAACACAATGAGACCATCCACGCGTCTGTATCTTGTTCCTGTACGGAGTTATTGGCCAAAAACCTTTGGTGACCTTTGATGACGTCACATGACCTCACAGCTGCCCAACAGCAAAACAGACCTCAAGGTAGTGAAGGTTGATCGTATATGAAGTCATGTATGGTATATGGGGCCATTCCGACCCGTTTTAGTGGTAAAAACAGGGAGTTGATTTTTCCCCCATTGACTTATAATGGGGAGGTCGCGAAATTGACCTGACCTTAGGTCACCGATATCAAAATTCCGAGATAAACAAATTGTAGCTACTAATGACCTAATAACATCCTGCGACTTTCAAAGGCCTCCGACATCTACTGTAGCTCTGGCACGGTGACAAAGTTGCAAAAAAGTGACTTGAGGTTGGGTCATTCAAAGTGACCTGGTGACCTGACCTTGTAAGGTAGGAGGTTCAAACTTGCACACCATGTGTAAAATTGATAAGGGAATAGTCATACCAAATTTCGCGGCGCTACGCGCCGCGGTTTTCCCGCTATTCGCGAAAAACCTCAGGGGGGGCGGATATCCGCCCCCCCCCGTCGGTGCGCGGGTTAAACTCGCGGAGAAGCTGAAGGTCAGAAGCTGGGGACAGCGTTTGCTAAACTGTTTGCGGCAAAATGTTTTTGACAGCGATCTCACAAGTTTGAAATGGGCTGGGTAGGTACTAATTACGGAGCGAGCGAAGCGAGCGGACCCACGCCACCAGGCAGCGCGGCAGTCCGAGTAGAGTTTGTCGTGCACGTTGTTCTTTGTTACGGAGCGAGCGAAGCGAGCGGAGTCTTACGTAGAATAACGGAAATTTTTGAGTATGAGCGGCCGGCCGGCCGGCCGGCCGGCCGTGGTCACGATTCTGCGACGCTTATATCTCAGCAACCACTTGACCGATTTACATGCGGTAATTTTTGTAGGGTAGCTTCATTCCTTCTACCAAGTATTGGACTATTCCCGATGCATGTGGGTGACCCCTTATGCACGTGCCACTGCCACGTGCAAAACGAAGAGGTGTCACTTTTGTATGTAATTGTTGCAATATCTCGGTAACTACTTGGCCGATTGCGCTGAAAGTTGGCATGCAGGTAGGCACCCACTAGGACTAGGCAATGCATATCCATGTGTCGGGGTTGGGGTGCTGCTGCACGTGCACACGTGCAGGGGTCGATTCCAGATCTCGAGAACGGCTGGACCGATGGCGCTCAAATTTGGTACATGGCTAGGGACCGGTTAGTAGGGTGCCGTTCAAAAGTCAGTTGGGACCCATTTTGCACGTGCGCACGTGCAGGGTGCCGCTTCCAGATCTCGAGAACGGCTGGGCCGATTGTGCTCAAATTTGGCACATCGCTAGAGACCGGTTAGTAGGGTGCCGTGCACAAGTCAGCTGGAGGTACCCCCTCGAAATTTCGCACGTGCAAGGCTCACACTCTCGCTCGCTCCGTTAGTCGCCCCAAAAGGCGTTATACTGGTTAGTAAGATATTGCAGTTTGAATATTTCCAGGTACGAAACTCAAGGGAGCTGCTCTATTTTGGCAAACGACTGCTCCAAAGATTGGCTTGGCATGAACAGTATGACCAGTTTTCATCGTTGTTATGTTTCCCCCAAGCACTGCATTTATCAAAGGCCAAGATGGCCGGATCCATGTATGTAAATGCCATCCATATGTTGTTTAATCGAAATATATCGAAAATATAACTTATGTACCCATTCTGATACCTATCAATAAGTCTGGGTCTGAGCGCTGCGCAATGCGCATACGGTACACGGAAGCCAAATGCGACATGCCAACTGTAGTGTCGTCTTCCGAATCTCCCGAATCAGCAGTCCGCTCGTCAAGTCCTCACCAAGGTCCTCACAGTGCCAGCCCGATCAAACAAGTGTGTATTTTACAAAACTGAAGCTCCGACAACATCTCGGCCAAGGTCAACTGAATTCATGGTCGTTAAATCACTGCCGTTTAGTTCACTGCCAAGTTACTACATTTTCCCCCCTCCATTAACGGAAACGCGCTGGTGTCTTGATGCGTCTCCCACACCGCGTTCGCCGTTCCCCACCGTCACGCGCCAGGGACGACGGTCCCCCACCGTCGCCACGTATCGGGGACGACGACCCCTCACCGCGCGCATCGTTGCCACGTATCGGGGACGACGACCCCTCACCGCGCACACTGTCGCCACGTATCGGGGACGACGACCCCTCACCGCGCGCCGGGGACGGCGGCGGTCCCGCCGGAGACGGCGGCGGTCCTCCGTCGCCGCGTGCCGGAGACGATGCGCGGCCCCTGGACAGCGGTCCACCGCCGTCGCTCGTTGGGGGCTCTCCCTCGCCGGCGCTCGTCGGGGACGGCCGCCCTCCGCCACCGCCGCGCGCCGGAGACGGCGGCGGTCCTCCGTCGCCGCGCGCCGGAGACGGCGGTCCTCCGCCGCCGCCTGCCGGAGACGGACAACCGCCGACTTCACTCCGTCTCGCTGGCGGCGATCCGCTCGAAGGATCTGTGGAGCGGGTTAGTCGTTCAGCGTGCACCAATGTCCCACAGCTGAGTTTGTATGAGACACGTCCCCTCCTTTCCATCACCATTCTCGGAGACGAGAAGGCCTGCCGACCTTTCCTGGGGCGGGGCACCAGCCTAAACCTCACCCATTCTCCCACTTCATAGTCCCTCGGCCGGGCACCATACCTCAGGTCGAAGTACTTTTTCTGCTTTTCCTGCTGCGTCGCCACCCGCGCCCTCGTCGTCGAGTCGTCCACCGGACGACGCTCAGCCGCCGCGTGCAGCTTGGTGCGCAGTTGCCTCCCTCGCAGCAGCTCCGCCGGTGACCTGCCCGTAGTGGAATGGGGTGTGGACCTATATGGCAATAGGAACTCACGGATGGCCCGCTTCCAATCCATACCATCGGCCGTCGCAGTCTGCAGGACATTTTTGACGTTCTTATTGAACCGCTCAACTGCTCCCGCCCCCCTTGGATGATAGGGAGTCACTCTGATTTGTCTCACACCCACTTCTTTCAGGTAGCCTGTGAAGACAGCAGAGGTGAATGCAGTACCGTTGTCACAAACTAGCTCTTCTGGGTATCCTTCTCGACTCGCAACAGCCTCCATGAACTCTATCACTGACTCCGAGTTGGGGTGCGCACAAAATGCTACCTCTGGCCACTTTGAGTAGTAATCGACCATGACAATAGCAAAACGTCTCTGCACCCCACCTCCCTCCATCGGTCCAATGAAGTCTATGCCCACTTTACTCCAGGGCGTCTGGGGCAGGGGCACCGGGTTCAGTGGGGGCACATTCACCTTGACAGTCTTGTCAGCGGTAGCGCAAGCAGCACATTGACGCACAAGACACTCAACGTTGGCGTCCATCCCGGGCCACCAAAACAGCTCCCTCAAGCGCTGCTTAGTTCTTACCGTGCCTTGATGCCCCTCATGAGCAAGATCCAGAAGACGCCTTCTCAGCTCCTCCGGAACCACGATCCGGTCGCCCTTGAAGATGAGACCGTCAGCCGTTGACAGCTCCAGCCTGCAGCGGAAGAACGGTCTCAGGTCGTCAGGACAGCTGGCAATCCTTGCCGGCCACCCTTCGTCCAGCTGACTCTTCAGCTTCCTGAGAACAGGGTCGGTCTGAACTGACTCGCGGAGCTCGCCTCTGCTCACTGCCGAGAGACGCTCCACCCGTTCAGCTATCTCCGCCACCAGCTGCTCCTCGTCGTCTGGAGCCGCTTCCGCGCCCACTGCCGGCAGACGCGAGAGACCGTCAGCCACGTTACACTTGCCTGGCACGTGACGGATCTCGAAGTCGTAGACGAGGAGGCGACTGGCCCAGCGACTGATCCTCATTCCTGCCCGTCCGACTCCTCTGGACGTGAGAAGTCGCAGCAGCGCCTGATGGTCCGTCCTGAGGGTAAAGTGAATGCCAAACAGGTACCGATGCCAGTGTTCAATAGCCCATAGAGCAGCCAGTGCCTCCTTCTCAGTCGCACAATACTTCCGCTGTGCTGAGGAGAGGGTAGCGGATGCGAACGCCACGACCCGCTCTCCTTCCGGGTGGATCTGGCTCAGCACCCCACCGAGACCAACATCAGACGCGTCCGTGGTCACCACTGTCGGTAAGGTGGGGTCAAACATGGCAAGCGCAGAACTGGACGTGATCAGAGCGATCACCCTCCTGAAGACCAGCTCCAGTTCCTCAGACCACTCGAACTCGTGACTTGCACTCGAACGAAGTTCCGCGCGCAGAGGCTCCACCAGCGACGAGTAGCCCTGCACGAACCTGGCATAGAAGCCAAAAAGGCCCAGAGCTGACTGGAGGTCAGCCTTGGTCCGCGGTGACGTCAACTCCGTCATCCCTCTCGTCCTCTCAACACTGACCGAGATGCCAGCTGCGCTCACTGTCAACCCGAGGAAGTCAAGTGTGGGGACACCAAACAAGCACTTCTTCTCGTTCAGGGTGATACGATGAGCGTTCAGTCGCGCGAGGACTTGCTGCAGCCGGACATCATGCTCTGGTGCATCCCTGCCAAACACAATGATGTCATCCAT